GTGGGGATTCTGTAAAGCATTTTGTAAAGGCCTGAGCGTCTTTCCATCGCTTATTAAGACCAGGCTTATGTGAGTTCTGCTTTGCCCTAAATAACATCGACATTTTCTGATTATGCAGCTTTCTCTAGATACAGCTTTCAGTATAAGGCAGCTTTCTATGTTCCTAGGTTCCCTATTCCTGTTTTATATCCTAAACCAAGGAGCATCCATATTTAGGATTTTGTTGTGTTTACTGAGACATTTTATTTACATGCATGCAAACATTAATCAGACACAGTCTTTAAGTGCCTGTGCACATACTCATGTTTGGGGGGTGGTAATAAGGAAGGAAGGAAGGAAGGAAGGAAGGAAGGAAGGAAGGAAGGAAGGAAGGAAAGAAAGAAAGAAAGAAAGAGGGATAAAGTGAGGGAAAATTTCAGAATACAAAGCAAAAGGAAACTGTATGTAACTTGTAGTCTACAGGAGTAGTTGTGTTAGTCTGTTGCAGTAAAAACTCATGTTAAAGATGAGGATTTTTCCTCAATAGTCACAGGGTAAGAACAGCTGCAGATCAAAGGAAATCTTGCCAGTCCAAAGTTTCAACATTTAAGTGTGCGAAATCACAGGGTGAGTGTACCCTCAATTTGTTTTTATACACTAGGAGCCCCCAGGTTCCCAAATCTCAAGCAAAGCCCTGGGTGTAGGGGATATTTTTGGGGGTAGAGGGGCCACATTACCCTTGTGGAAAGCTGTCAGGGGCCGCATTCCAAAAGTGGCCAGGGCCAGTTCAGTTGCATACCCTTAACAGACACATATAATCGCACACACAATCTCTCTCTCACGCACCCACAGACTGTATGCCAGTAGTATGGTGTAATATTGGGCTGAGCCCAGGAGATGCTGGTAGGCTTGTCCAAATAGCCTGCGGGCTGCTGGTTCCCTGCCCTGGTTTATAACTTCAAAGCTTGCTCAAGATCCGACACGAGTTCAGGAGGCATGGATACAACATGAGCTAAAGCTCTAAAATGCCCTGTTATGTGTTTATATTTACCATTGAACTCGGTTGGGAAAGTTGCAGAGTTAAGTGCTCAGTATGAGAATTTTTTTCCTCTGACTTTAATGACCAACTTAAGGTGAGGAGGCCAGGATCAGACCGGGAATCCCTAAAGAAAAGGCTTTCTGAAAGTCTAAAGATAGAAGTAATCTACATTAGACACAACTTAGAAAGAGTAAAAATTTTGAGGTGTTAGAACAAAGGAAGGAAGTCAATATGTGCATAGGTATGTAATGACTAGGGATGTGGGTGGCACTGTGGGTTAAACCACAGAGAATAGGACTTGCTGATCAGAAGGTCGGCTGTTCAAATCCCCGTGATGGGGTGAGCTCCCATTGCTCAGTCCCTGCTCCTGCCAACCTAGCAGTTCGAAAGCACGTCAAAGTGCAAGTAGATAAATAGGTACCGCTCCGGCGGGAAGGTAAACGGCGTTTCTGTGCACTGCTCTGGTTCGCCAGAAGCGGCTTAGTCATGTTGGCCACATGACCTGGAAGCTGTACGCCAATAAAGCGAGATGAGTGCCGCAACCCCAGAGTTGTCCACGACTGGACCTAATGGTCAGGGGTCCCTTTACCCTTTACCTTTATGTAATGACTAGATTAGAATGATGATATGGTTTCTTTTCTTTTGTGGTTTTTTTCTTGTTTGTATAGTTTTATTTTGGATTCAATGTTTGTAATTTTTGTTGTAATTTTGCATTGAAAATAAAAAATATATATATAAATATAGAATCTCCTGAAACGAGTGAGAGGGGAAGGAAAAGAGGCCTGGCCTGACTCCCCCGTCGTGAAGGGACCCCCGTCACTGGGAAAGGAAAAAACTCAAGGTGGGTGATCGGAAACACCGTAAAATGGGGTTGAAACAAGTCCCCTTCCGAGTCCCGCCGGAATGAGTAAGAGCGTCTTCAGCAAATTAGGCTGATAAGAGGCGCAGCTTGGAAAAACCCCCAGCTTCTATCAGCTTCTATCAGTAAAAGGAAACTGGGAGCCGACGGAAGAACTCTCAAGCTTTCCTCCCTTCCTTCCCTTTCCAACCCCACCAAAGCTGCCTTAATAACTCACGGATAGTATTCCCTCTTGGGACTGATAGTTTCTCTCCCTCGAAGCTCCGGAGCAGCACGCACAAGTGACCTGCATGAAGGTGGCTGTTAGACTCTGGAACAGATCCTGAGACCCAAGCACCTTATTAAAACCTATACCCTACAACAGAAGAGCCATTTCTTTCTCCTCTTTTTCCTCTTTGTTCAGCAAGGCAGTTTTTTAATTCCGCTCTTTTACTGCATTAGCGCTTCAACATTTTTATTACTTTTTACCTTTTTACCTCCTGGCACCTTTTTACCTTCTGGTACCTATATTTATGCAGAGAAACATATTGAGACTCAGTGCTCGCTGACGAGCTAAGCAGGAGAAAGCTGCAGATACACCCCTACTCTACCACCGGCCCTGCAAATTAGGAAGAAACACTTGGGGACAACTGGCTCTCTAATTGGAAGACAACTACCCAACTACCCAACATGGTCCTCACCAGAAAGATATGTATTACGAAATTAATTTTGCAGATTCCAAATTGCTCTTTAACATGGAACATCACCACAAGAGAATAATCATGGAAGCCATCGAGATAGAGAAACACCCTCACAACATGAACAAGCGTGACGACACATCCCGCCTGCCAGACATCTGGAAATTAGCCCTCCCCACAAAAACCGACACCAGATCCAGAGGCACACAGAACGCCATCACCAATCAACCACACCAGACCCAAACCCAGACCCTCTCCACAGATAAATTACAGACACCATCCAGTAGCCAAACCATGGTGGCACCTCCGGATGCTGCACCCCCCTGCAATCCCTACACAGATCTGGCTGGCACAGGACACAAAACCACAGCTCGCCCCTATACACGAAGCCAAGCCAGAGCACAACTAAGTGCAGTACAGCCATCTTCTCAGAAAAACTCTTCACAAAGCTCAAGAGGTCAAGACACGAAGGCTTTAGCAACTAATCCACACCTAATGACCCACCTAAGTGGTACTCAGAATATCACTCAAGAAATCACTCAAGATATCCCTCAAGTAATTAAGGAACAAAAGAAGAAAAGGCACACTAGCCTGGGAACTTCCTCTCTGCCCAGAACATTGGAGGCTATACACCACACCCCCTCAACAGTATTTATAGGAACTCAAACACTGAGATCCTGCTCTGTTCCAGTAACAAGAAGCCGAAAGCACCAGCCTGAAGATGACGAGTGAGACCTCGTCGAAACGTCGCCTAGACACCCCAACTTTTACACGGGAAGACACCCGAGGACACCAAAACCTGCATATATATATATATATATACACACACACACCGTATTTTCCGCTCTATAAGACGCACCAGATCACAAGACGCACCTAGTTTTTGGAGGAGGAAAACAAGAAAAAAAATATTCTGAATCTCAGAAGCCAGAACAACAAGAGGGATCGCTATGCAGTGAAAGCAGCAATCCCTCTTGCTGTTCTGGCTTCTGGGATAACTGCGCAGCCTGCATTCGAAATGGCAGACATCACACTAGTCTCTCATTCTAGACTTGATTTTTTATAGGCAGGGCCCAAGGTATATGGCAGGCTTCCTCAAACTCTGCCCTCCAGATGTTTTGAGACTACACTTCCCATCATCCCTGACCACTGGTCCTGCTAGCTAGGGATCATCGGAGTTGTAGGCCAAAAACATCTGGAGGGCCGAGTTTGAGGAAGCCTGGTATATGCTACTTCCTCGGGCTGCTCACAGCTGCTACCCATTCAGCTGCCCTTTCCTCACACAGTTCTAGGTACAGCAGGTTTACGGAGTTTCCCAGAGGATTAGGATGGGAAAAGTCGTCCCCCCCCCCACTCACAGCTGTTTCTGCAACCTCTCCTCCTCCTCCAGCTATGTAAATACCTCCCTCTTGATTCTCAGTGACCCCATTTTGGCAGCAACCCTGCCAGCACTCGCAGCAGTCCGCGTTTGCTATTAGAGGGAATTACGCATTTAAATTAAACGCTGCTCCACAGGGCAGCATCAACAAGACAGGTCCCTGCCCCGAGGCACTTGCAATCCCGCAATCCCAAGAGGGAAGACAGAGGGATGGAGGAAGTTGAAGGGAGGGAGAGAATGCACATTGTATTCTAGAATTGTAGAGTTGGAAGGGGGAATCAAAGCACCATCTAGACTAACCCGCTGCAATGCAGGAATCACTGTTAATATTTGCAACTTATTTATTAAATTCATTAGCCACTTTTCTGTTCAGGTGGGTGATCTATTTACAATAAAAACGGTGATTCATCTTTAATTTACAAACGTCATTTCGTTGTGGTTTTTACATTTTGCAAGTTACTCTGGGAACGACATTGAAGAGCCGGGATTGTGGGTGTAATTATGGGAGAATTCTCAAGAAATCACCGCCGGCTCAATTCCATTTCCTCCCCCCACAAACCCCAAATTGCTGAAACAGGAAAGAAAAAGAAAAAACCAGATCTTGAGAGGCACAATTGCTAGATTGCAATGCTGGAAATCCCTCTCTCTGTACCCTTCAGGCAATCTTACGCATCCCTACTTTGAAGTAAACCAAACCCAAGGGGGCTTACTGCCAAGTCATTTTGATGAGAGCGAGGGGCTGCCGTTCCAATAGGGGGTCTCCACCCCAAACCCATTTGCTGCTTCAAAAAAGAAAATAAAGAGAGCATTAGGATGCACCATTTGTTATGAACACCAAGACAAATCAGTAAGGCTTGGCAGGTAAAGCCCTGGGATTTGGTGCAATTTCCCAAGGCATGCCAAGCGACTTGCTGCAGGCAGCCAGCTAGCTAAATAGGTAGGCTGCACTTACGAAACACCTTTGCAACCCATTACAGCCTAATACACAAACACACACACACACAACACAGCTGACTGCACCGCATACATAGGTACACACAGATAAAGATTTTGTAACACGCCCTTCTTCCTCCTCACCAGCCAATAACAGAGTAGGTGCCTGTTATTTTGGAACCTGCCTTGGGCAGAGAAGTTGAATTGTATGTACGTCCTGGAAACAGCAAAAGCATCAAGGGCTGGAGACAGAGAGAGGGGTAAGAGGGTTGTGTTTGTGTGTGTATGGGGAGGGGGGGACCTTGTACAAAGGGGGGAGGATATTTGGGGGCAGAGGATGGGGTCCCCACCTGTATAATTATCCTGCCTCCCCCCAGTGTTTTCTGAAAGGCCTGATGCTACATTAATGATTACTGGCTGTTAAAACCAAGGGGTGGTGGTAGTTATTCCAGAAGTATTAATTCAGAGTATTTTTTTTAAGAAGTGTCATTATGCTTCATCATTTATGTAACGCATAAAACACTGACGTTGTAATTCATTCGCCTATTTGTAAATCCAGTTCCGGGTCGCCTTATTGGTTTTATGGTATATATTGTGTTTGATCAGCATCCCTTTGGCTCATCGGATTTTGTAGGATAATTACCGGAGTTCTGTGCAGCGGTCCGAAATGCTTTACAGGGTGATGTAAATGGATCTCGCATACGATCAGTTTCAATTCTGCATGGCTGTCACATTTCTCGGCAAAAGGGAAGAGGGGAAAACCACACACGCACCATCCTTACCTCGTGTCACTTGTTCCTGGTACGTTTTCGCGTCATTTATAGTTTCCACAGCATTTAAAGGTAACTGTTTGTTATTTACATCATCTTGACAGATCGCCACTTTATTCACCAACACGGCACGCTCCTCCCATAGACAAACGTACTTTACAGTCTTTTTAAAAATCCCAATAACCTGCTTCCCGGGTGATTTTGGGTGCCCTCAGGCCGTCGTTCATCCGCTGTGATTTATTTTACCATCGTCTTTTATTAATAACGACAGGTCGGGATTCTTTTCATTTTGATAACCCACCGTTAAAAAACAAAACAAAAACCACCACCACCATCGCCTGCCCAGTTCAAAGCAGCTGCTTTATTATTTTTTATTTTTTTAAAAAACAAATTTTAGAAGTGCCAACTCGACCGTGTTTACTTGGAAGCAAGCCACCCCCTCCGCCCCGCCCCGGCGCTCAGCGGGTATTGGGAGGGTAGCGCGGAACCTGCTGCAGCATGCCTATCAATTACTGTAAAAAAATAAAAATATTAAATATATATATATCAGTCCCTCCTTGCTGCAAGCCCGTTTTGCAACGCGCGCTTCCTCGGATGCAAAACCCCCGTGCGTGCAATGGAGGTTTGCTTTGCTCCCAAGGAAGCGTGCAAACGGTTGGCAGAGCTCCGCCGTTTTATATAACCGGGGCTGGTGCATCTACACGGCGCGCGGCTGCTGCTGCTGCTGCTGCGCGAGGGAGAAGCGAATCTTGCAGCAAGAATCCCGGGCTGCGGCTCCTCTCCAGCCCCGCCCACCCCTCCTCCTCGCCCCGCCCACTCCTCCCTCCCCCTCCTCTGCCTGATCAGGCCGGAGAATCGAGCCGCCAAGGGCATCGATGGCTCCCTCTCTCTCACACTCTCTCTTTTAAAGCGCACCCCTCCATCCTCCTCTCGGCGCTCGGCAGCGCCAGCCCCGGCTCCGGCCATTTCGCGCAGTGGCGGCGGCGGCGGCGCCTCCGGAGGGACCCGGGAAGAGGAGGAAGAGGAGGTAGGTGCTCCCCAAGGGGCTAGGGGGGTGCCTTCTCCAGAGGACGCCCCGGGACCTATTTGCACCCCGCGGGAAAGTGACCCGGGGTTCAGGGGCGCCTCCCACTTCTCCTCCCCCCCGCCCCAGCCGCCTCTGCCCCGGGACTTAGTAGGGAGCCCCTGCCTGCCCTGCCCTGCCCCGGGACTTAGTGGCAGCCGCGCCTTGAGAAGTCTCGCCTTTCCCTGCCCCGGGACCTAGTGGCATCCCGGCATGAGCCCCCCCCCCAGGTCTACTGGCACTGATTCGGAGGTTTAGCCGCCTCCCGCCCAGCTGGCTCTGCCCCGGGACTTAGTGGGCAGTCCCTGCCCGCCCCTGCTCCGGGACTTAGTGGCAGTCCCTGCCCGCCCCGGGACTTAGTGGGAGCCCCTGCCTGCCCCGGGACTTAGTGGGAGCCCCTGCCTGCCCATGGACTTAGCGGGCAGTCCCTGCCCGCCCCTGCTCCGGGACTTAGTGGGCAGTCCCTGCCCGCCCCTGCCCCGGGACTTAGTGGGCAATCCCTGCCCGCCCCTGCCCCGGGACTTAGTGGGCAATCCCTGCCCGCCCCTGCCCCGGGACTTAGTGAGAGCCTCTGCCTGCCTCGGGACTTAGTAGGCAGCCCCTGCCCGCCCCTGCCCCGGGACTTAGTGGGCAATCCCTGCCCGCCCCTGCCCCGGGACTTAGTGGGAGCCCCTGCCTGCCCCGGGACTTAGTGGGCAGCCCCTGCCTGCCCCGGGACTTAGTGGGCAGCCCCTGCCTGCCCCGGGACTTAGTGGAAGCCCGCCGCCTCTGCCCCGGGACTTAGTGGGCAGCCCCTGCCTGCCCCGGGACTTAGTGGGCAGCCCCTGCCTGCCCCGGGACTTAGTGGAAGCCTGCCGCCTCTGCCCCGGGACTTAGTGGGCAGCCCCTGCCTGCCCTGCCCCGGGACTTTGTGGGGAGCTCCTGCCCGGGGACTTAGTGGAAGCCCTCCCCCTTCGGCCGCCTCTGCCCCGGGACTTAGTGGCAGCCGCGCCTTCAGAAGCCTCTCGCCTTTCCCTGCCCCGGGACCTAGTGGCATCCCGGCATGAGCTCCCCACCCCCCAGGTCTACTGGCACTGATTCGGGGGTCTAGCCGCCTCCCGCCCAGCTGGCTCTGCCCCGGAACTTAGTGGTATGAAGAAGCCCCCCCACCCCCATTCGCCTCTGCCCCCGGACTTAGTAGCCGCCGCTTGAGAAGCAGCCGCGCCCTCTCCCGGCGTCGGGACTTGGTGGGCTCCCCGTGCGAAGAAGCCCCCGAAGCCAGCCGCTTCTTCTGCCCCCGGACCTAGTGGCATGCTGCTGCCGCCCGCGCCCTTTCACTTGGGTCTTTCCCCTCCCTGCTCTGCTTGTCCTTCATTGCGGGGCTTCTCCCCCCACCCCCCTTCCGTCTTCGAAGGAAATAAACGCGGGGGGGGGGGGAAGAGAAAATGAATGAAAATGGGGCGGGGGGGACACACGCGCGCGCGATGGTGACTCTTCCTTGTTTCAAAATGGAAACATTCAAAAAGTTAGACATCTTTTCCTTCTCTCCTCCTTCCTCCTCCTCCTCCTTCCCACGGGAAAGTTTCCTGGTGGTTCAACTTTCCTGAGATTCATTCCGGCTCCCATATAGGGCAGCGGGGGTACTTTTTGGGTGTGTTTTTGGTGGTGGTGGGGTCTGCCTTCCTTCCCCGCCACCCCTTGAAGGAAGTAAGGAAGGGGACCTTCCTGCCCCTTCCATCCTGGATGCGCCCCACTTCCTCCTCATCCCTCGCTGACATTGTTCCTCTCCTGCGTGGCGTCCCCCTTCCTGGAAAACCTGCCCTCCATTTCCCCCCTTGGGGGGCAGTATTTTGCAAATATTCCTTTTGTGCTTCTGCCTGCTCTAATCTGTGGGAACCTTCATGCTTGCTATGTACATCCAATGAGATTTTATGTAGCCTCTTGGGTGCATCGGGAAAGGAGACAGACTCTCCTTATACCCCAGGGATAGGGGGTCTTTTTGAGTTTAAGGCATGAGACTCTTAATCTCAGGGCCATGGGTTCGAGTGGCTGCGGAAACCCAGCCAGATGAGCGGGGTATAATAAAGTTGTTGAGGAGCGGGGTATAAATAATAAAGTTGTTGTTGATGAGCGGGGTATAAATAATAAACTTGTTGTTGATGAGTGGGATATAAATAAAAAGTTGTTGATGATGAGCGGGATATAAATAAAAAAGTTGTTGATGATGAGTGGGATATAAATAATAAAGTTGTTGTTGATGAGTGGGATATAAATAATAAAGTTGTTGATGATGAGTGGGATATAATAATAAAGTTGTTAATGATGAGCGGGATATAAATAATAAAGTTGTTGTTGATGAGCGGGGTATAAATAATAAAGTTGTTGATGATGAGTGGGATATAAATAATAAAGTTGTTAATGATGAGCGGGATATAAATAATAAAGTTGTTGTTGATGAGCGGGGTATAATAATAAAGTTGTTGATGAGTGGGATATAAATAATAAAGTTGTTGATGATGAGCGGGATATAAATAATAAAGTTGTTGTTGTTGATGAGCGGGATATAAATAATAAAGTTGTTGTTGTTGTTGTTGTTGTTGTTACTCCTGCATTGCAGGGGGTTGGACCAGATGACCCCCAGGGTCTCTTCCAACTCTGATTCCATTGTGGGTGGAGTAACAGACAAAAAGTGGGTGGGGCCAGAGGCAAAAGTGGGCGGAGTTGCCTTATACTCCACAGGCCCATCTGGCTGAGTGTCCTCTGCACTGACCGGCAGCCATTCCCCAGCACATCAGTCAAGGGTCTCTCTTAGCCGCTACCTGGAGATGCCTGGGATTGAGCCCAGATCTTCTACCTGCAAAACCACTGAGAGATGAATATGAGCAAATATCGGGGATGAGGAGTTTAAACTTTAAACCAATCGAAACTTTTGCTTTCTATACAGTGGTGCCTTGGTTCTCAAACGCCTTGGTACTCAAACAACTTGGAACCCAAACACTGCAAACCCGGAAGTAAGGGTTCCGCTTTGCAAATTTTTTGAGTGTTATGCGTCCGTCTTGAGTGTTATGCTTCCGATTTGAGTGTTACCCTGAGGTCTGTCTGTTTTTGCACTTTATTTTGCTTTTTCATTTTGTTTTTGTGACTGTGTAGAACCCAGTTTAACTACTGATTGATTGATTGTGTGACTGCAGTACATTGTTTATTGCTTCCATTTTATGGATCAGTGGTCTCATTAGATAGTAAAATTCATGTTAAGTTGCTGTTTTAGGGGTTGTTTTTAAAATCTGGAACGGACTAATCCATTTTGCACTACTTTCTATGGGAAAGCACACCTTGGTTTTGGAACGCTTTGGTTTTGGAACGGACATCCGGAACAGTTTAAGTTTGAGAACCAAGGTACCACTGTATTGGGCAAATCTAGGTGCCAAGCAGTACTTTTTTTATTATT